ATACACCATCATTTCCAAATGACCAATTCATCCAAACCCTACTATGTATTGCTGAATTAGAGTCTTTGCAAATTCATATCAACAAATCTTCCAAGCTTGTGTTGCTACTAATATTTCTCCTCTTCATTTACGGCACTCACAGCTCAAACACACCTCAATCGATAAACTCCATCCTTTTATTTCTCGTGGTTTATTAAGATCTGTTCCAAATGAATCTTTGCATTGTGTGTCATGTCAATCTACAAAACAACCTGCTTTATCGTTTACTAGTAGTCATTCTTTTTCTGCTGCTTCTTTTGATCTCGTGCATTCTGATATTTGGGGTCCATCTCCAACACCTACCATGGGGGGTTCTAGGTATTTTGTGTTATTTATTGATGATCATACTCGTTTTACTTGGATATATCTTATGAAAAATCGCTCTGAGTTGCCACAAATTTAAATTGATTTTGCTATAGTGGTCAAGACCCAGTTCTCTAAAATTATCAAAGTTTTGAGAACTGACAATGCCTCGGAATATTTTAGTACTAAACTTCAATCCTTTTTGAAAGAACAGGGTACACTGGCACAACAATCTTGTCCTTACACTTTTGAACAAAATGGGCGAGTCGAACGTAAACACAGACACATCCTTGGTTCTGTTCGTGCTTTACTCATTTTGTCTTCTTGTTCAGAGCGATTTTGGGGTGAAGCTGCTTTTACAGCTGTTTATCTCATTAATCGGATTCCATCATCGGTCATCAATAATAAGTCTCCATACGAATGTTTGAATGGTATTCCTCTTGCCTATGATCTTCTTAAGGTTTTTGGTTGTACTTGTTTCGTTCTTCTTCCACCTCATGAACATAATAAGTTAGAGCCTAAAGCTCTATTATGTTGTTTCTTGGATTATAGGATTACACATAAAGAATATCGTTGTTGGAATCCTGTGCCACAAAAACTTTGAGTCTCACGTCATGTTGTTTTTTGGGAACACACTATGTTTTCCTCATTATCAAACTTTCATGTGTTATCTTTTGATCAACCTCCATTTTTTACTAACCCTTCTATTAAGCTATTTCCTAGTGACTCTGATGCAAATATATTTGATGAGCTCTATGATGCCTTTCCACATGCTCCACCTAGTTCTATAGAAGATGTTCTGCCTGCTGGTAATGTATTAGACAATGTTGAGTCTTCTTCCCTTACCCCTTCTGTATCACATATTGGATCTAACCTTGTTAATCTTGAGCCTAAAAATGAGATCCTTAATCCACCTTCAAGTCATCCTACTTGGGTAAGAAATCCTCCTAGCTATCTTCATGATTATCATTGCTTTCCTACTATTACCTCATTACATGAGCCTCAATCCTACCAAGAGGCCTCTTTTAACTCTCTTTGGTAGCAAGTTATGCAAGATGAATTACAAGCTCTTGACAAAACTCGTACATGGGATTTGGTTGACCTTCATACTGGAAAGCCTTTAGTAGGTTATAAATGGGTGTACAAGATCAAAACTCGGTTTGATGGTTCCATGGAGCGTTACAAGGCTTGTTTGGTCGCTATAGGATTTACTCAGGAATATGGGATTGATTATGAGGAAACTTTTGCACCTGTTGCTCATCCTACTTCAGTTCGCAGTTTGATTAGTATTGCTGCTACAACAAGATGGACATTGTTTCAGATAGATGTGAAAAATGCCTTTCTAAATGATGATCTTGCAGAGGAAGTTTACATGAAACCACCTCCTAGACTTGAGCATCTTCCAAACAAAGTTTGATGATTGAAGCGAGCTCTATATGGTTTGAAACAAGCACCTCGAGCCTAGTTTGCGAAGTTTAATACCACCATCAATGAATTTGGTTTTACTTCTAGTCCTCCTGATACTACACTGTTCATACGCAAGACTAGTCATGGTATGGTTCTACTACTTCTTTATGTTAATGATATAATCATTACTGGGGATGATATTTTAGGTATTCATGATCTTAAGCAATTTCTCAATCATAAGTTTGAGATGAAAGATCTTGGTGTTTTGAGATATTTCTTGGGACTTGAGGTCACCTTTTTTGATGATGGTTATCTTCTTTCTCGAACAAAATATGCTTCTGGTCTTATATCTAAAGCTGGATTCACTGACAATAAGACTGCATCTACTCCTCTTGAGCCCAATGTTCGACTTACATCCATAGATGGTTCTCCATTAGCTGATCCTACTCGCTACAAACAGTTGGTTGGAAGTTTGATTTATCTCACTACAACACAACCAGACATAGCTTATGTAATTCATGTTGTTAGCTAGTTTATGGCTACACCTCACTGCATTCACTATGCAGCAGTACTTCGCATTATTCGGTATATTAAAGGTACCATGTTCCATGGACTTCACTTTTTTGCTCATTCATCTCTTGAACTTCATGCTTACTCAAATGTTGATTGGGCTGTAGACTCTAATGATTGTAAATCCACCACTAGATATTGTCTTTTTCTTGGTGATTCCTTAATCTCTTGGCATAGCAAGAAGCAGACAGTTTCATCACGTTCTAGCACAGAGGTTGAATATCAAGCACTTGGAGACGCCATATCAAAGTTACTTAATTTACGTTGGCTACTAGAAGATATAGGTGTTTCTCAACCGCCTGCTACCAATCTTTATTGTGACAATCAGAGTGCCATGCAAATTGCTCATAATGATGTCTTCCATGAATGCACTAAACACATTGAGGTTTGCTATCACTTTGTTCGCCTTCATATTGCACAAGAAACTGTTCATTTGGTTTTTATTGGCTTCGTTGATCAACCAGAAGACCATTTCATTAAGGCTCATTTTCCTAAACAATTTCGCACTCTTCTTTCCAAATTAACTCAAGTTGGTTTCATCACAACCACCTTGAGTTTGAAGGGGGATGTTAAGATGCGAACACAATAATTTAGATTATATTCACACTTATTGTAAATATTTTATACCTTAAAATATTATCTTTATATACTTTCTACTTTAGAATATCCTCTTTGTAAACACCTATATATAAGTCATTGTATATACAGTATTATTCAAGAAAGTAATAAATTTTTCTTCAAATATTTCTCCTTCTTTTTCAATTTCTAATAATTCCCATAATAGAATTCTTCAGCGACCATGTTCTCGCTGGTTTCACAAAAGGAAATCTTATTGTCACTCTCTTTGATATAAACACTAGTTATTTTGTCTTATAAGAATCATACATCTAGTATTTGCTATTACGTTTCTAGTCCTATTCCTTTCTGGGACTAACATTGATCCCGGGTAGGCTGATAAGTCTCTTCTACTGCCTCTGTCCAGGACACGGAAGATGAAGCTCAGGGCTCAAAAGTCTAAACCAAAAATTCTCAAGTATGCATTTCCTTGCTTCCCATGCTTATGGTTAAGAACAATTTAGGAGTCCAGTATTCTCAGACTTTTCAATTTCATCTCAATTTGTTGAGGCCTGCTTTGTTATTTATTTTATTTACAAAAAAACTATTTTACAATTTAATACAATCTAAACTATAAAATAGTAAATTCTTTTACCAAAGAGCAAACTCCTTCATAGATTTCTTGATTTTGAGCTAAGAAGAAATGGACTAGATGGACAGAACCTTGCACGTAGTTGTCAAAGATAGTGGTCACATAAGCACCAGCTGGCTACACAGGACAAAATAATAAATAATCTGTCCAGATCAACATTTGCAGCCACTTATCACAATCTTGCTTATCATCTTAGACCTAGAGAACTTATCCAAAAAAAATCGCCTTGGTGATACATCCAACCTAAAACCCAGTCCGTATTATTAGTTAGATGCTCAACTTTAATAGCATAGGAAGTAGAAAGTTGTAGGATTGG